AAGTGGGATATTATCTCAGAACTTATTGTAGATGCAGCAAGAAAAATGGGTTAAAATTATCAAAACAGGAGACAGAAAGACCATTCAGAACATGAATGTTTCATATCAAGTGTAAGAATGTTCCGTGTTCTTGCATGTAGCAGTATTACTCATATCTTCATTGTTCTATTTTTCTATTTTATGAATATATCACAATTTAAAAGTTGTTTTTTTCATTAATGGATATTTTAGATTCCTATGTCCTGACATTATAAAAAATAATACTACTATTAATTTTCTTAAATATGCATATATTTAGTGTACATATGTATATATTTCTATGGGGTAAATATCCATTGTAGAATTTTAATTTCTTATTTATGGATAGCTGGACATTCAGCCTAGTAAATATGCTCAAAAAGTTTTGATAGTGTTCATAGTAATTTACACAGAAATCTTCAAGATATTACTGTGTTATTTATCTCATGCTCTTGAAAATAGTTGGTATGGTTCACCTACTTAATGTTAGTTGCTCTGAAGCTTGTGCATTAGTTGTGAATTTAATTTCCTTATCCTGAAGTACTAAAACATCACATTTTTAATATGCTCACTGACATTTAGATATATTTTTGTGAAGAAATATGTCTAATTTTTATTAGGTTGGGTTTTGTTTTCTTATTGATCCATAGTAGCATTTTTATAAATGCTGGCTGCAGTCCTTAATAGTTGTTGAAAATCTCTTCTTCCACTCCACAATGTCTGGTTTAAATCAATTTTGTTAAAGTGCAGCTCACATACAATAAAATGTATGTTTTAGTTGTGACATTGCAATGGCTTTTGACAAATGTGTACATACATCCCTAAAATTATAATGAAATCAAGATATATAAAAAGTTTGTATAACTTCTCAATTAATCCCTCATAATAGATTAGTTTGACATTTCTAGAATTGTAAATAAATTAAATTTTATAGTACTTTCCATTTACTGTGTATATATTTTTCCCTCGGAATACTACTTTATGATTTATCTGTGTTTAACACATGAACTCTTTATTCTTTCTATTGTTATATAGCATTACCTATACCAATATACCACAAGGTGTTTATTTATTCACATATGTTTACTTGTATTTCATTCCACTTTTGATTATTCTGAATAAAGTTGCAATTATAAAGTCCTTCTGTGGACCTATCTTTTTTCCTTCTGGGTAAATCATTCAGAATGGCTTTACTATTCATATAGTAGGTACATTTTTAATTTTATAAGATAAATTTTTGATTTTATAAGAACTTATAAAAAGCTAAAATTTTTTAAGAATTTCTTTAAAATTATATTTTAATATTATAAAATTAAAACTGCAGAAATGTATCCCAAAGTGGTTTTATCATTTTATATTTCTAGTAGCAATATATGAAAACCTCAATTGCCTCATGTTCTCTCACACTTGTTCTTGTTAGTGCATTAATTTTGATTATCCCAATGAATGTTTAGTAACATCTTATTGTCATTTTACGTTTCATTTCCTTGATAACTAATGATGTTGAGCATCTCTTCTTGTGCACATTTGCCATTCATGCACCTTCCTTTGTGAAGTATATGTTCAAATCTTTAACCATTTTTAATAAACCGTTTTTATTAGTAAATTGTATGTACATATATATACAGATATACTTCTTGAATTTTATTGCATTGTACATGTAATACCTATTTACTAACATGCATTTCATATATGTAACATTTTATACATATATACAAAATACATGATTTTTGTCAGAGACATGTTTCCTAGTATTAATGGTTTTTCTTTTTTTTTTTATTCTATCTTCTTTATTCTTTTTTTAAATTAAATTTTATTTAGTTACTTTTCAAGTACATTTTTTTAATCTATTTCTCCCATCCCACCCCACCCCCCCGCCCGGTCTCCCTTCTCCCTCCCATTCCTCCCCCCCCCAGTCCTCATCCCTGTGTCTTTCATACTTGTTCCTCAAAATCCCTCCCCCTTTTTCCCCTTAAATTCCCTTCCCTCTCCCCTCTGGTCACTGCCCACTTGTTCCCTATTTCAGTGTCTTTGTTTTTATTCTGTTTGCTTGTTTGTTTTATTCTTTAGCTTCCTGTCAAAGGTGAGATCATATGGTATTTGTCCTTCAATGCCTGGCCTATTTCACTCAGAATGGTTTTTCTACTGCATGATTTTTTTCACTTTTTAACACTGTCTTGCAAAAAGCAGAGAGTTTTTTATTAGGTCTATGATCTAGTTCAAGTTTTTGTTGTTGTAATTGTCTTGCTTTTATCCATTTGTACATTATACGGCAGCAACACTATTTGTTATAAGACTTACTTTTCCCATCAACTTGTCTTATGTTACTCTATTTCAATATACATTTTTTTCCAATGAGTTACATGTTTATCCTTATCTCAATATCACTCTTTTGTAACTTTCATTGCATCGTTGTTCTATTAAATTTCTTCAATTTATTCTCAATATTTCATGTTTAAATGATGCTGTAAATGAGTTTGAACTTTTTCAAGTTTCAAATGCTCATTGATATATTCTCTATTTCTCAAGTTATTTGAGTAGTTATTTTATATATTACTTGGGATGCTGTATCTACCCAACTATGCTATCTACAAGGGAAAACAATTTAATTCCTTTATTTCTAATCACAATGTCACCATTTTTTTCACTTTATTTTATTAGCTAGGAATTCTAGCACATTGTTGAATATGAGTTTGAAGCAATCATCTTGCATAGTTTGTTCATCTTCTCAAGAAAAGCTTAAAAGCTTTTCTCTTTATATTTGATATTAGCAGAAGTTTTGGTTTTTTTTTTTAATAAATAGGCTTCCTTTATCACATTGAAGAAGTTTGTTCTACCTTTACTTTACTGAAAGATTTTTAGCATAAATAGGTTTTGAATTTTATCAGTTTTTTTTGTGTGTGAAACTATTCAGAAAAAAAACATGGATTCTCTTTTTCTGTCATTATGGAGAATAAAATAGATTAATTTAAAATATGAAACCAACCTTGAATTCTTAGGATAAATGTCACCTTCTCATAATGTATTATGCTTATAATGTTATTGCTGAATTTTTTTGCTATTCTTTCATTGAAATTTTTAATCTATGTTCATAAAGAGTTCTGTTTAGAATTACTTTTTTTGTAATATCTTCATTTGGTTTTGGTATCAAAATAATACTCACATTATAAAAGGAGATGGAGCCCTGGCTGATGTAGCTCAGTGGATTGAGCGCGGGCATATGAACCAAAGGATTGCAGTTTGATTCCCAGTCAAGGTACATGCCTGGGTTTGAGGCCAGTTCCCAGCAGGGGATGCATGAGAGGCAACCATACATTGATATTTCTCTCCCTCTCTCCTTCCCTTCCCCTCTAAAGATAAATAAATAACATCTTTTAAAAAAGAAAACATGATGTAACAATAAATAAATAAATAATTAAAAAATAAAAATAAAAGGAGATAGAGTATGCTAATAACTTCCATTTTTCTGAAGAAATCTGGCTTTTAGTATCATACTATCTTAATTATAGTTTCTCTAAAATAAATATTAATATCCATAAATTCCCCATCACTCTTTATGATCTTCAAGTGTGACTTTTAATTTTGACCATTGCATTTTATGTAAATTTTACAACTGTTACTCAATTCTGAATAAAACAAGGTGGGATATGTTCTCTGCTTTTGCCTTGAAGAGATTGTGTAGGTTTGGTGATGTTTTATGTTTGAATATTTAGTCCTGGAAATTTTGCATTAGACTGTTAACTCCAAGTTTAATTTCTTTAATAGTCATAGAATTACTCAGCTATCTGTTTCTCCTTGTATGTGTTTTAGGACTTAAACAATTCATCTATTTCATTTAAGTTGTCCAAAATATTTATGCGAGTTGCTCATAGTATCTTCCTATTATCTTTTCAATATCTGAGATCTGGAATGATGTCTTTCATTTCTGATATTTATAGTATGCTTTCTTTCTCACAATGTTTTGTTTTGTTTGTCCAACTGGTTATAACTCATAAATTCATCAGTATTATTAATCATCAAAGAACCAACTTTTGATTTCACTAACTTAATTGTCTTTTTGTTTCCAAATTTGTTGTTTCTGGTTTTATCTTTATCTTTGCTTCCTTTTCGTGTTTTGGATTTATTTTACTATTTTTCCTAGTTTTGTTAATTTGCAAAGATTATATAGATTAATGAAATATTTCTTATTTTCAAATATAAGCATTTAATATTATAAATGTGTTGTCAATGAATTATAAGATACAACTGAAGTTTTCACATACCTCAAAAACCAATATTTAACCATTAAAGATAGATTGTAAAACATTTATTACTCTGGAATCATTTAATCTTTCCCTTTCTATTGTGCTTATTATTCAAACTATTTCTATAAACATTGGAAACTCCACTAGGTAGTGTTACAATTTTTTATTTCAACAATCTATTTTATGAAAAAAAATTGTAAAATTTTTAGAATTTGTGGAATTCTAAACAATTTGTACAATTGTTCTTCTTTGTTTATTCTTAAAAGTTTGGTGAAACAATAAAGACAGACATCTGCACCTGGACTTCCCCTTTAGGATGATTTAAATATATATTTGTTTACTTTAGTAGATATGGACATATATAGGTTAGATATTTCATATTGAATTAACTTTGATAAATTGAATCTTTCAAATAATAAGTACATTTCATTTAAGTTGCCAAATCCACTTTGCATAGCTTTTACAAATATTCTATTTTATCATTTTAATATCTGTATAACCTGTAATCATGTCATATTTCTCATCCTGATGAATTTTATCTTTTTTCCCAATCAGTTTCATAACAGTTTTACCAGTGTTGTTCATCTTTTCTAAGAATCAGCTTTTGATTTCATTAATCTTCTCTCTTATTTTTGTTTTCTATGATATTGATTATGGCCTTATTTTCCCCTTTCCTCTATTTATATGTTTCTTCTTTGACTTTTTATATGTAGATTGCCTAAAACATCAAATGTAGTAATGAGAAATCACACAGCAATAACAAAATTTATCCTGTTGGGACTTACAGAAGATCCACAGTTGCAAGCTCTGATTTTTATCTTCTTACTTCTCACCTACATGATGAGCATTACTGGAAATCTGACCATTATCATTCTTACACTCATGGATATTCATCTTAAAACACCTATGTATTTTTTTCTTCGAAATTTCTCCTTCTTAGAAATTTTATTTACAACAGTCTGCATTCCCAGATTCCTGTACAGTTTATCAACTGGAGACAATACTATTACTTATAATGCTTGTGCCAGTCAAATATTTTTTATTGGACTTTTTGGGACCACAGAATTTTTTCTCCTGGCTGCCATGTCCTATGACCGCTACGTGGCCATCTGTAAACCCCTGCACTACATGACCATCATGAACAACAGAGTTTGTACCGTCCTCATTCTTTGCTGCTGGATCTCTGGGTTAATGATCATCATCACACCACTTGGCATGGGCCTCCATCTAGAATTCTGTGACTCCAATGTGATTGATCATTTTGGCTGTGATGCATCTCCCCTTTTTAAAATATCATGCTCAGATACATGGTTCATAGAACAAATGGTTATAATCTGTGCAGTATTGACATTCATTATTACACTCATAGGCGTCATTCTTTCATATATGTACATCATCAGGACAATTCTAAGATTCCCTTCTGCTCAGCAGAGAAGAAAAGCTTTTTCCACTTGTTCTACTCACATGATTGTTGTTTCCATCACTTATGGCAGCTGTATTTTTATCTACATCAAGCCTTCAGCTAAAGAAGAGGTGGACATCAATAAAGGGGTATCTTTGCTCACTACATCTGTTGCCCCTATGTTGAACCCCTTTATTTATACCTTGAGGAACAAGCAAGTAAAAGAAGCTTTCAATGAAACAATGAAAAAAATTGCATTTATCTTACACAAGTAAAAGCACACTGATATTGAATAATCAAACAAAAATGAAAGATGTATTATTTCTTAACATTTTTCTAGAAGTTATAACTAGTTTAATCAGGCTAACCTTTTCAGAATCCTTCAAATCTTGATTTGTGAACCTACTTGGAATAAATCGCTTCTTTATCTCTTTAATTTCAATCAAAATTGTTATATCACTAAAAAACACCAAAATTTGTTTCCAGTAAACAAAATCTTCCCACATCTCTCAATAAGCTTCCCTAACATTATTCAAAAAGAAAATGTATAACATGTTAAATATAGCATTTATGTTTCCTGGGAAATTTTAGACTGATAGTTTTGCTAAATTCCTTTGATTCATATATGTAAATATACAGAAAGAAACATTCAAAGTACAGAAAGAAATATTTCATCTTTGTTCTAAGGTAGTATAATACAAACTTTAAAATAGAATAACTCAAATAGAAATATCAAGTAAAATTAAAATATATTATAACCAGAGACACTGAAATCAACAACAAACTAATAGTAACCAGAGGGAATGTGGGAGAAGATAATGGGGGGAAAAGGGGAAGGCTTTTCAGGAACAAATATAAAGGACACATGAACAAAACCAAAGGGGGATAGGATCAAGGGTGGGCAGTGTGGATGGCAGGGGTTGGGGGGGGAGTGGTGGGGGGGAAATGGAGACAGCTGTACTTGAACAACAATTAAAATAACTGTGGGAAAAAAGAAAAGAAATAAAATATATTGTAATACAAAGTAAAAAAATAAATATCCAGACACAAATACGATACACAAAAGATAGAAGCAAGTCAGAATATTTAGAAGATTTTTTAGAAATGAGAAAAACTTAGACCAAAGATCTTGACAAATACATGCAAGTACTCATACACATGTACATACAGAAAAACAAAGAAAACAAGATAAAATTACAATTTTCCTTCTAGCTCTGTCAGAATAACTAATTTGTGCACATGTTTTCTGCTTTAAGTAATTATAAAACAATTAACTATGTGTAGAAACTTTAGACAAGTTTGTTCTGTTCTGGTTGAATGTTTATTTCTTCCTTCTGCTCTAAACTGTTGGTTTGAGTCCCTAATTCCTTCCCATTGCTGTTGGTTCCATGTACTTTTTTCTTTATTTCACTTTTAATAGCCTTCACTTTCTCCTGTATTTTGCGACCATACTCAGTCATTTCTGTGAGCATCCTGATTACCAGTGTTTTGAACTGGGCATCTGATAGGTTGGCTATCTCTTCATCGCTTAGTTGTATTTTTTCTGAAGCTTTGATCTGTTCTTTCATTTGAGCCATATTTTTTTTGTCTCAGTGCACCTGTTATGTAGTAAGGGTGGAGCCCTAGGTATTCACCAAAACAATTCAACCCACTACATTTTGGTGTAGCACTGTATGTGAGGGAGGGGTCCAAGAGGGAACAATGCCACTTGCTCAGCTCTCAGCCAGCTTTTAGTCATTTCCCCTGCTACCCACAAGCAAATTGGACTCTTCTGGTGCTGATTCCTGGGTGTAGGTTTTGTGTACATTCTAGAACCCTGTGGGTCTCTCCAATGAACTCTCCTGTGAGGCTGAGAGTTCCTCCTGCTGCTTCAACTCCCACAGGTATTTTTAGTCAGAGGTTTTGAGGTTTTATATTTCCACACAGGAACTGTACAACTGGGTTGTACAGTCTGTCTCACTCCCTGTGTTTTTTTATGGTTTATCCACACACAAATGTGGGATTATCCACTCTGCCAGCCACTGCCTTGCTTACCCTGGTCCCCCAGCTGCCACCTTGCTGCAAGTCCCCTCCACACAGCTGGCCATTTCTGCCCCTCCTACCAGCTTGGATGAGTGTTTCTTTTTTAACTCCTTGGTTATCAGACCTTCATACAGTTTGATTTTATGGCAGTTTTGGTTACTTTTTGTTTTAAATTTGTTGTTCTTCTTTTGGCTATGCAAGGAGGCTCAGTATATCTACCCATGCTTCCATCTTGTCCAGAAATCTATTTTCTTATATATAAGTTCTATTACAGTTGTCCCAATTTAAACATATTTTCTTAGAACTCTACTTACCTACATGAGGAAAAGAAATAGGACACCTAAATTAGCAAACTCAGAGACACAAAAAGGTAGATAATCATAATACAGACATTGAAGAGAGGAAATTTAGTCATGAATCTCTGGCTATTACAATGATTACATTGTTGTGAATTGAGGATGAATGATTGAGATGGTGACATGGAAATAAAGATCATGGTGGTAAATGGCATAGAGCTTAAAAAGTAATGAAAAACTAATGTGCTTAGGATAGGCAAATTGATTTTTACCTAGGTGATACTTAAACCAAAGTAACTGAAAAAATCTCAACTCGAGGCAAGCTGTATGAAAGTATGCAAATTTTGTAATGATACTCATCCTGTATCCAACATTTCTTTCTCAATGAAGATCAAAATAACCTACATGTATAAAGATTCCCACGATATATTGTGAAGTACTTAAAGAAAATCTTAGCAAGGATAGAACTGGAGAGCATTATGCCAAGTAAAATAATCCAGGCAGTGAAAGACAAATACCATATGATCTCACCTATAAGTGGAACCTAATCAACAAAACAAACAAGTAAGCAAAATATAATAAGAGACATTGAAATAAAAAATAACCTGAAAGTAACCAGAGGGAATGGGGAGGGAGTTAATGGGGGAAAGAAGGAGAAGGGTCATCAAAGAACATGTATGAAGGACCCATGGACAAAGCCAAAGAGGGGTAGGATTGATGGTAGGAGGTGGGGGTGGGTGGGGTAGGGGAAAATGGATACAACTGTACTTGGACAATAAAAAAGAAAAAGAAAGAAAAGTTTAGAATTTCCAAAGAAAGAACCCAGACACATGACTTTTCACTGGGGGACTTTCTGTTGCTCTATAAATGAGCAAACACAAAGAGTTAATGGTTAGAGAAGGAAAATTCTAGATAAGCTGGAGATCTAACTTTTGGGAAATATCACTACAATTTCATCTTTTACATTTCAAAGGTAAAAATAGAAGAATGACACTGACGTTTACTCTCAGGTTTAAATTCCTAACATTAATCCCAGAACTACAAAAACCATACTGGGTTAGAGTAGTGTCTCCAAGTTTGGAAACTGTCCTGGAGACATTAAAAAAAAGTGCTAAAGAAAAAAAGGGAGGGTTCTAGTTAAAAAGCATGTATGAATGACTCATAAACATGGACAACAGTATGGGAATTGACTATAGAAATGGAGGCTGTGAGAAGCAGAAGAAGACAAAGGGGAACAACTGGGACAACTGTAATAAAATAAAAATAAAAATTATTTTAAAAGAGTACCCATTCCATTCATGATTTAAAAACACTTAGCAAAGTGGGAATAGAGGGAGAATTCCTCATCATAGTAAAGGCCATGTATGAGAGACCTACAGCCAACATCACACAGAATGGGCAAAAACTTAGACATTTCTGACTAAGATCAAGAACAAGACAAGATGCCCACTTTCATCACTCCTATTCAACATAGCATTAAAAATTCTACCCACAGCACTCAGACAAGTAAAAGCAATATAAGGCATCCAAATTGGAAAAAAAGAAAGCAAAACTGTCATTGTTTGCAGATGACATGATAGTGTACATAGAAAACCCTATAGACTCCACCAAAAAAACTATTTGACCTAATAAGTGAATTTGGCAAAACAGCGGGATACAAAGTCAATATTTAGAAATCAAAGGCATTTTTGTAAACCAACAATGAAAAATCAGAAAGATAAATCAAGAAAAAACATCCCATTTGATAGAGTAACAAGAAAAATAAAGTAGCTAGGAATAAACCTAACCAAGGAGGTAAAAGACCTGTACTTAGAAAGCTACACAACACTGAAAAACGAAATTAAGGAAGACACATTACCATGCTCATGAATTGGAAGAATTAACATAATAAAAATGTTCACACTACCCAAAGCAATTTATAGATTCAATGCAATCCCTATATTAAAATACCAATGACATATTTCACAGATATAGAACAAACATTTCAGAAATTTATATGGAACCATAAACAACTTCAAATAGCTGCAGCAATTTTGAGGAAAAATAACTAAGTAGGAGAGATCACAATACCTGATATCAAACTGCATTATAAGGCAACTGTAATCAATACAGCCTGGCATAAGAAGAGATACATACACCAATGGAAAGAACAGAGAGCCCAGAAATAAACCCACATCTCTATGGTCAATTGATATTTCACAAAGAGGGTGGAAGCTTAAAATGGAGTAAAAAACAGCCTCTTCAACGAATGGTGTTGGGAGAGCTGGACAGCTACATGAAAAAAAATGAAACTTGATCACCAACTTACACCATACACAAAAATAAATTCAAGGTGAATGAAAGACTTAAATATAAGTTTTGACGCCATGAAAGCACTAGAGGAAAACATCAGCAGAAAACACTCAGACATTTCACACAGCAACATCTTTATGGCTATATCCCCTAAAGCAAAGGACGTAAAGAAAAGAATCAACAAATGGGACTTCATTAAATTAAAAAGCTTCTGCATGGCTAAAGAAAACAGTATTAAAATGAAAAGAGAACCAACTATATGGGAAAGCATTTGTCAATGATACCTCAGATAAGGGTTTGATCTCCAAAAATATATAAAGAACTCACACAACACTCCAGGAAGACAAAAATACCAACTAAAAGATGGGCAAAAGACTGGAACAGATAATTCTCCAAGGAGGACATACAGAGGGCCCAGAGACATATGAAAAGATGCTAAGCTGCACTAGCCATCAGAGAGGTGCAAATTAAAACCACATTGAGATACCACTTCACACCATCCAGAATGGCCATCGTAACAACATAAACAAATCAAACAAGTGTTGGAGAGGATGCAGAGAAAAGGGAACACTAGTGCACTGTTGGTGGGATTGCAGACTGGCACAACCGCTATGGAAAACAGTATGGAATTTTCTGAGAAAACTAAAAATGGATCTGCCTTTTGA